TCCCTCCCTCCCTCCCTCCAATGGAAGCCAACTCCTTTGGGTCCAAAGTTGCTCCCAATGATTGCAAAGACCACAGCACCACCAGCAGCTTGAATGACAAATTTATTTGTGGATTCACCTCCACCTGCAAACCGAAGCGTTCAATGGGCTAATGCTAATCCTCGTGCTCCCCATGCGGGATCTGAGTGGGTCCGACATGAGGAGCGCGAGTCCGTGCTCAGTGGCCAAGTGAGCCCCCCTGGAGCCTCCAGTTCTCCCCCCACCTCCATCCCAGCTTGGCCTCTGCAGGGAGCACGGTCCCACACATAAATACGGACAGACAAGATAACAAAAATAGCATTAATAGTATTCACAAATGAATTAAAAACTACTCGTATATGTACAGCAGAGCGCGGGCAGTATGTACACGGACAAGCTGTGGACAGCTGTGTCTGCCCGCGGTGGGCTCCGAAGGATGAGGGCATTTATTCTGGAAGCTAATTTCAGCTCAAAGGCTGGAGGTTCCCTGCTCCAGCAGCAAAAAGGAGCAGCATGGGAATGAGGGAGAGGGAAGCCAGACACCTCAGTCACTGCATGCAGCCGTCACAGCCACACATGGGGACAGGGATCTGCCTGCACTATGGGACTGGGAACGTGTGGAACAGCAGTGGAGAGGCCAACAGCTCCTATTGTCCCCAAAGAGGCTCCCCAGAGGTGGAGATGGCTCTCAGCCAGTGCCAGCCCTCACTCCCATCTCCCCTGGGCTTGCTTACTCGCTCATCCCATGAATCAGCTGCTCCCTGGGCTTTGCCACCCCTGTGAAGGTGCTTCCCCTGACCCTCCCAATCCCCAGCTCTGCATTCCTGGACACCACAGCCCCAGCTCTCTGCAAAGCCCCTTGTGCCAGGGACAAGCACTCTCCCCCTCTCCTGCCTCCTTTCTTTGCCAGCCCAGAGGAGCAGGCTGGGAAGGGATGAGCACTGTCCCACAGCCATCTACATTTGGAGTGAGGAGGAGGAAGAGGACAAAGAACCCTTCAAACTACGTACAGCCCTGGGCCTGGCACACCATCCTCATCTGGGACAGGCAGCAGCTCCCAGCAACTGATTATGTGGGAAGAAAGGAATTCACGTGGAGCTGACCAAGGGCAGAGCTCCTCACTCCTGCTCTCTGCCTCTTCCTCCTGCTCTCCCTGCCACAGGGATGAGCTCTGACTGGAGAAGCAAGGACAGGACAGGGATGCTGCAGGGAAGCTCCATCTCGCTGGGCAGCCTGCCTCTTCCTGGTGCCTGAGCGTGCCAGAGACAGGGGCACGGAGCCTGACCCTTGCTCTGGCTGGGGAACTTTATATTAGTGACACATCTACACACACGCACGCACTCACACATGCAAAAATAAGTCTGTTTATTCTCTTCCAAATTATTTGGAGAACCCTGCAGGGCTGGGACACCTTCTAGCCTGTGCCCCCCCCAGCTGCCTGGATCTCTCCAGCACTGGGAGCCGGTGGCTGAAGTGCTGCATTGGCCTCAGCGCCTTTAAAACACAACAGAACAGTAAATAAGACAGGCTACAATAAAAGGAG